TTGAAGCATAATCACAAAATAAAATTACAGAAAATTAAAAACCTTTCTAATACACTAAAGGTAGAATTTCATTGTAAGTCATAGTCATAGATTTGAGATATTATTATTTATTCATATTAACATCATTATTGGTTATATATTGATAAAAAACCACGAAAAACACAGTTTGTAAATATTTATTACAATAAAATATGAAAAAGGTATTTTCCATCCTATGCGACGCGCCGAGGTTAGCTATATTTATAATTCCCGCGCTTAGTCGCGGTGGTGCTTGGGATAATCACTTGATACTGTAAATAGCAGCCATTTTACGATGCCCTCCTCGGACAGTTTATCCTCCCGAAAAGATATGAAAAAGTACCTGCAATTTAATGTTTGTTTGCTACATAAAGATTATCGATTTACTTTTTGCAAACCTTTTCTCTGTCTTATTGTAATAATATTGATGTGTTTTCATTGGCTTAAACCATCACGTTATCAATACACATAATGGTGTGAACTAATTTCGTGTTCGTTTTTCCGTTAAAAGACATATAACAATGTTATTTACAAATGAAATGATAAAACAACAATCCCAGAAGCATTTAAGAAAATAACAATCATTGGAAATAAATGCATATAAATTGTAAATTTGTGTATGCAACTCACCCCCTAAACAAAACATGATAGACTCAACCAAAACAAGCGTCTGCTTCTTTACCTAACTATGTGGTTGCATGACCATTATCAGCAATAGCAAACCAAATGTAGCTATTGAAAAAATAATACTATGACCACAGCAGATTTCGTACAGAAATATATATATATATTATATTGTCTCGTATACTAAGTGACTCCATGGAGGGTCAAATTATGCTAGTTCTATGTATTGATATTTTTGGAGATAATAAACAATATTATAATCCACTGTATCGTTCAAGAGTTATTGTATGGAAACCTTTTTGTGTAAAACATATGCATTGAAAAGAGGCAAAAGGTTTAAAGCAAATTTGGAACTCGGTCAGTACATGTGTGTACCAAACATTATTAATCTATTACAATCCCTCACGTGATAAAGATTTTAACATCCGGATTTTTTTTTAATCAAACTAGTGAAAATGGACAACTAAGGGAAAAAGTATTAGCCTAAGCCGAATTCAAACTTAATCTGTATCTCGTATTTCATGATGTTATATGTCAGTAACAAAAATTATTAAAAGTAAAAGTTAACGTTATCATCCAAAAACCATGAAACCGACCAACAATTATCAACCAACCGGCTCACAAGCTTTCTTATACCAAACTGAACGTCTTTTATGAACTTAATATCACTGATATAAAGTACGTACCGACTTTTAGTAGTTACCACGAAACTTTAAATAGCCGATTTAATAAGTATATTAATTCATAAATAAAGAGTATCAACGAAGCTCGACTTATACTGGATGCAGTAAAGAAAGACAAAACTATGAACAAAAAATCATTTATGATATATAAATATTTCTATATTAGTCTCAAGAAATGATCACTAAATGTTCAATATTTTTGCACCACGTAATATGCATGTGACCATGTCAATAAAAGTTACACAGACATTTCTATGCCGGAATGGAAAAGACAGCAATTTGAAATCTGAAGTCAATCCCTTTAGAAACAAAAATGATAAGAACAAAAGTCATATTATTAAGTTTGAAAGTAATATTTTAAGTTCAAAGAGGAAATAACTATTAAAATAAAGTTGCTATAGTTATATACCTTTTTAAACATAATCTGAGTAATAACAAATACTTATTATCTTAGGTCTAGTGTCGATACCGTTTACTATAACAGAGAAACTACTTCAACACTTTCAAATTAAGAAAAAAAAAGAGATGTCGAACGACACATATGCTCTCTTCCTAGCCCTTGACTCACATAAGTTGAAATTTTGTTATAGAAACTTGCTATAAATAGGTACATGGAATAGTTCAGTTATGGAAAAAAAAGAAAAATTACTACCTACCAATCAATATGTGAACTATAAATACCTTGACCTTTGAACTAGCGATCCCATAATGTGAAATAAGAAGACTTTGTGATAATAAGTTTACATGATAATGAGCGAAAAACATTCTGACATTTGAAACACCTGTGACCTTGACCTTAAACTAGTGACCTCAAAATCAATACGGGTCATCTACTAATTTTGAAAAATCACTATGCAAAAATATAAAGACCTTGTGATAAATAGCTTTCAAGATAATAAGCGGAAGCTTTACTAACATTCAAGGCCCCCGTGGCCTTGACCTTTGACCCCTAAATTGATAAGGGCCGCCTACTAGTTATAACCATTGAGTATGTGTAATAGAAAGACTTTTTAATAAATACTTTTCAAAATAATGACACAAAACCATACTATTATTTAAGGCACCAGTGACCTTGACCTTTGACCTAGTGACCTTAAAATCAATAAGGTACTTCTAAGAGTTATGATCAATCAGTATGTGAAATAGCAAGACTTTGTAATAAATGGTTTTCAAGATCACGAATGGAAACCATTCTGACATTTCAGGCCCATGTGACTTTGACCTATGGCCTAGTGACCCTTAAATCAATAGCTGTCATCTACTAGTTATAACCAATCACTATGTGAAATATGAAGACTTTGTGATAAATAGTTTTCAAATAATCAGCGAAATCCATACTGACATTTTATTTGTGACCTTAACATTTGACCTATTGACCAAAAAATCAATAAAGGTCATTTACTAGTTATGGCCAATCTGTATGTGAAATATGAAGACTTTGAGATTAATAGTTTTTAAAATAATCAGCGGAAACTATGTAGTCTACCGACGGACAGATCAACAAACCGATGGACCGACAGAACAACCGACATTAGCGAACAACATACTCTTCTTCGAAGGAGGGGGGGGGGGCAAAAAAACAAAAAGTTAGATTTTGGAATACAGGAGCTTTTGTTATAAACCTTATCACAAATGACTAAGGTGTTGGCAAAAAATAAAATTTTTATAAAAGATGGTCCAAGTTCATGGGGGAATGATTCTGGAAATATTTATGCCAGACTTATGAATATTGTCACACAAGGTGTCGATGATAATAAGTAACAACTTTTTGAAGTTTCAAGTACATACCTTAAGAAATGAAGAACTGATAGTAAAAGTAACACTTGTTAACATAAATTCTAAGTTCAAGAGGGATAATACTGAAAACATTGATTTCTTAAAAAATACGGAGTAACAGTAAAAAAATAATTTTTTTAAAGAAAATTCCAAGATCAAAGGTAAATAATTCTACAAATTTCGTTTCAAGAGTTATGAACCTTGCTTCATAAAATTAGGTTGATAATAAGGAGCATATATGTTAAGTCTGAAGTTTATACCTTAAGAAAGAAAGAAGAGTAAACACATTTTTTTAAGGAAACTTTAAGTTCAAAGGGAGATAATTCTCAAAATATTGCTTCTAGAGTTATGAACCTTATCATATAAGATGTGGTTGATGATAAGGAACATATAATTGAAGTTTGTAGTTGATACCTTAAAAATGAAAAAGTCAAAGTAAAAAATGTTTAGAGCACTAAAATGTTAGACTGAAATCTGGCTGCCGACACCGGCACCGACGCCGAGATGAGTAGGACAGCTCTAAATATTCTTCATGTAGTCGAGCTTAACATCAATGCAAATATTTGAATAAGACTTTTATAAGGGGCAATAAAATGTGAAACAGGAACATCTTTCACTCTTGGCTTTCTATATATACTGTGACTGTTACTTTTTAAGAATAAGAATCTCACAATATTTCATTTATGAAAAACGGTAAAATTTGATTTTCTAAGACGCATTTCGCTAGCTCACCTATATTCAGTTTATTTCATGTGACTAATGCAAAATTACAATAATAAAGTCACGTTAAAATCACCTGCAGCAAATGACATTATTATGACATTTATCATTACTACATAGTTAAAATGTCTTACCGGCCATCGTCCGCATGATATCCTATAGAGTTCTTTCCCCATCCAGGTTGATTATTTGCTGGGTAATCGTCTGGTACTAAACCCAAAGCTTATAAAATAAAGATAAGTGAAACAAATATCGTTACATATTGCATTCCTTATCTTTGGTGAACATATAAAACATAATTTCTAACTTTTTGATAAAGCAAATTTATTGATAAAAAAGAAAGAGAATATTTTGCATTTGTAAATTGTTTAGCATTTTAACAATACATTGTCGTCAAAGAATAAATGAGCCTTTTAATACCAATTGTTCCACTCCGTCCTAAACTCAGTATCTCAATTTCGAAGTATCTTGCCATCACTATTGCTTTCTTGTCAACGTACAGTCCAACATCTCTGTGTCGATTGTCTACATAACTGCAATTGTATGCGTATAATTATATTCTTATATAATGTCATAAAGACAACACTTTATGCTTCATCACTAGAATTAAAAGATTAAAGTAAATATATATAACGAAAACCTGATTAGTATTTTATCTATATTCGTAATAACATATAATCATGTAAAGTTTTTTTTTTAATCATTTAAATTATATATTCCGTTTTCTTAACGAGAAATTGGGATATGATGATTTAATAAACGTAACTAACACATGATTCCACCCCTCCCACAAAAACAACAACAACAAAACAAATAAATAAAAATAAACAGTAAAAACAACAACAGCAACAACAACACTATAACCGTTATGGTTAAATTCTATCAAAGGCAACAATAATACGTGAGATATTCGCCATCCACTTTCATATGTCTACATATCAACTGCCTTTCTAGTAATGGTGTTGAAACAGCCTACAAAGAAAAAACTATGTTTAAGACACAGTAAATTATAGTATATGTGTTTAGAAAATTAGCAAGATTCAAAGTCTATATATACAATGTAGTTATCACATCTTCATAATTGTGTGTCTTTGCTAAAGAAGCTCGACGTACCTGTTCTTGGTGGTTAAGCAATATTTTAAGTTTAATGTAACTTTAACATTAAATACGTTATAACTGCAAATCGGCTCTTACTCGGCAGTAATTTATGTAGCCGCGTTTTCATGAAGAAACCAGTGTTGATAGTGAAAATTGTGATTGGCATATTTTAATTAGCCAGGTCGGGTGTTTCTAAAAAGACTGATAACACTGTAGCAATGTGAGGATACATTCAAATTTATTACATAGATAATGCACGTGGAGCTCAGCTCGCAGAGACAAATGAGAACACAGTAACTTTTTGATATCCTTTTAACTCTAAGAAATATGTCAATTATTAATGCTTATATTTTCTAGAAAAAGTAAGCAAAACATTATTTTGTTTCATATGACAGGAATGAATTGCATTAACAATCCTAGGTATTGTTGAAAACTCATTGTTACATGCCAGATTAAGTAATTGGACCCCATCCTTATCTGTACGTGACGGCTGGGGAAAAATAATGTTATGCTTAATTAAAGAGGTGACACTTTCTATTTTTTTATCTGATATCGAGTTGTAAGAGCCGATTTGCAGTTATATGGGTGAGAGTTCGATAAAACTCTCTACGGTCGTCTGCTTTTTTTAGGGATTTTGTATTTTTCTATTTTATGATCACATCCGTGTTATTTGTGCCGTGTGGCTGTGTAAAAAGTCTCCCCGTACATTTAATCAATGATGTTATATTTTCGATCCTTGAATATCGTTCAACACGACATTATTGTTGTGCTTGTGGTATTTTTAGTTTCAATTCTTCGGCATTTTCTAGTTGGGTGGTTCCAATATTCCTACTTGAATAATGTTGAATCACCCTTAGGATATGTTGCCTGCTTTTTAAATTTGTCTTTTGACGTCGTATCTGTGATACGCAGGCTTCATAACCTTTGATCCCCTTTCAAAATTCCATTTTATTTAGTTCCGCCCATTGTTTTCTCGTTTAGGGCACACGCTTTTTATTACTTGGTGACCATACGCCGCTTTTCATGGAATGGCACGGAAGTGTCACATTGAAGGTTCCATGATAACCGCCGTATGAACACATCTGCGGATGTTTCTAAATTCAAAATTTTACTATTTCATGTTTAAATGTTGAATTCTGCTTAAGCCGGTGCTAGGGGGCGTGGACGGTAACTTGCACTTTCCAGTACCGTCCATGAACAGGCTCAATCAAACCGAGCCTGCAACATTTTCAATTTTGCCGTGTTGGGCTTTCTTTAGGGATTTTGTATTTATCTATTTTAATACGAACTCTTACCCATACTTAAAAGAATACATTTGATAGAATTTGAGGAGTGCACTGTAACTAAAATTTAAACAAAGAAATTGATATACAACAAATATTCCTTTTTAAAATGAAAACCTTTTATAATAATGTTTGAGAAATGGAACCTTTAAATCAAAGAAAAGGGTATCTAACTTTACAAAAATAATTTAAGGGTTACCTGCTCTTTTGAAATGACGTCATATTTGACAAAATATATTTTAACTGAATTTGATTAGGTATATTGTGATGGTTTCTGAGAAAAATTGATCTTAACAAAAGGTAAGCACGACAAAATTGAAAAGTGATCACAAATTAACATTTTATTTCAATTGACCTTCAACAGATAATGATATATATGTATAATATAACCAATTATCTTTTGTCTGAATAGAGCCGGCAGTTTGTAAGAGCCGGCGTTTGGTAAACTCGTTTACCGTGATTCTTGTCAGAAGGCAAAATGATTCCCTTTAAATCAGTTATTGAAAATTTGATTTCTAAAGAAAAGTATTTCATAACTTAACAGAGTCATGATCTTTTATTCTTGCAGACTTCAATTCTATAGCAAACAATATTAAACAAGTTATTTGATTTTAAATTTCAATATTATATTTTTTATTCATTAAAAGAAATATTTTATATGAATAACCTCCCCCCCAACCCCCACCCCCCCAAAAAAAAAATACCAAGAAGAACTCATCAAATGAGTGTAACAAACAATTACACACTCAAATCCACTGATGAAATAGTATGCTGGTTTGAGAAGTTTGAGAGTTACATCTTTACTTTCATTTCGCTAAGATTATTATTTATTTGATATCCATGTCTGTAAAATTCCTGCATTTATACTGTTACAGTAGCTCTTTATTTTTTGTCAATTGAATGTTTTAAATATAATGACTGATGTTATTGCTGACAAAATCTTATTTAGCATATTAATTCTTCTACAGCTTACATGATAATTAATGCTAATTATTTCGTATAGAAGATGTGATGTTTGTGTATGTTCGATATTTTTTTTATATATTCTAATGTTGTTGTTTACTTAAGATGTCATTTTATGTTGTGCCTATTGTAAATATGTTATGCTCTCCCGTGTGGAGGAAATAAAAGTATCTTTCTATCTATCTATTTATTACAGTGCGTACAGAGTCCTTTATTATCATTTTTTTTCTATATACAGCTATTGATGTGAAGTTCTAAATTAACAAAAAATATTTAAAAGTTAAATAAGTAGTACATCTAAGTTTTCCTAAAAATTACATTAGTTTTTAAACAAACGGTTAACTAAACATCAACTGTATACCACCATTACTGCAAAAAAGCGTCATTCAATTTGTGTTTAAAATATAATAAATTGTTACTATTATCATTAATAAAATATTAAAAAAGACCCAATTTATTGTTTTATAGATGGTTTTGGACAAAGTTTATCTATGGGAATTTGCATGTAT